TATTACTTTGATAAGCCATTATAAAAATCTTTGCATATGTAAAAACGGTGAAAAGCATCGGGAGCACTGCAACGTCTAATAAAACAGCAAGCCCAACTATCGTAGCCGTTCTTGATCTAACACAGTGAACTGTGTAAATGGCATTGTTGCAAAATATTCCCTCCAAATTAAGGTTGCATATCTTCGCTTTAGCGCACAGCACTGCTTGAACTGCAAGCTGACACGGAGGGAAAAGCCAAGCAAAAACCAGGAGACATTTCACCGTAGTTTTCCTCATGATGGTTGAATATCTCAGAGGTTTGCATATCGACACGTATCTATCAAAAGCCATGACTGCTAACAGTAAGAACTCTGATCCACCTACAGAATAAAACATGAAAAACTGAAAGACACAACCAGAGTACGGTATGACCTGCTTTTCAGAGAGGAAGTCGGTCAAAAGCTTCGGGTAAAAAGTGGAGCTGTAAATAACACAGTTAAACAATAAAGCGCCGATGAAGATGTACATCGGCTCATGGAGGTTTTTGTGAGTCCAGATGAGATAAACAATAGTAGAATTACTGCAGATGATCAAAACATACACAGTAAAAAAAACAGAAAAATAAAGGTATCTGTATTTATTCATCTCTACGTATCCAGTCAGAGTTATGAGGGAATCATTTAACTCATCCATAAATGTGTTCGTATCAGTTTAAATAAAAATATCCAGTCCAGACGTATTCTCTTTCTTACCTGAATTTAAACTGAAGAGTTTGTGAGTCGACTTTCTTTTATTGTTTATCTCTTCATCCCTCGCAGGATTTCGTCGCTGGAGACCTGCAGCCTGTAGTGGCACTAGGTAATATGTCAGGCGTTCAAAATCAGCCACACTTGGCATGTGAAACACGGCTAATGTAGATTCTGGCCTAGAAATATTCACAAAACGAGATATTTAAGAAAGTCATAATATTTGAGTGTGACATTCAATTCAAGCCAACTTTTGTAAACCTGTAGAAAGAAAAGACTGTTGATCCAGATCCACTATTGTTCGTGTAAACCGATCCATTGGTTTACAGGAACCAGTTGGTTTACATTCTCAGAACGCTGCTGCTGGCGTTCTCACTAAAACCAGGAAGACGGAGCACATAACACCAGTTTTAAAATCCCTTCACTGGCTCCCTGTAGCTCAAAGAATAGACTTTAAACTACTGTTGTTAGTTTATAAATCACTGAACGGGTTAGCACCACATACCTTAATTATTGCTGTACCAACCGTCTAGACCCCTCAGATCTTCTGGTTCTGGTCTGCTCTGCATCCCCAGAACCAGAACCAAACGAGGAGAAGCAGCATTCAGTTTCTATGCACCACAGATTTGGAACAAACTTCCAGAAAACTGTAAAACAGCTGAAACACTGGGTGCCTTTAAATCTCAACTTAAAACCCACCTGTTTAGAGTTGCTTATGGCTAAATTAGGGTTAGAGTGCGGGTTTTGATGTCTTTAATGTTTTTATCTTTAGTTTTTATCTATTTATTAATTTCTTTTTAGTTCTCTTTCTCACTGTTTACGTTTTAATGATATAAAGCCCCCCGGAAAATGTCCCAGTTAAACGTTTAACTAAAGTCCTACGGGATTTAGAGTCCCAGTTTCAACTAAAAACCTAGAGGTTGGAGTCCTTGTTTTTGACTAAAGTCCCAGAGGGTTAGAGCCCAAGTTAAACGACATTTAACTGAAGTCTTAAAAGGGGTGCGGGTTTTAATGTTTTTATCTTTTCTTTTTATCTATTTATGTTTTTTAAATCTCTTTATCACTGTTTATTACATGCTGTTTTTATTTTAATTATGAAAAACACTTTGAAATGCCTTGCTGCTGAAATGTGCTATACAAATGAAATTTAATTGATTGATTGATTGATTTTATTAGTGTTAAGGACAATACACGCTGTACAACAACATAGGAATTTATTCTCTTTCTTAAAGAACAAAACAACATTCCTTTCTTGGCACATATTTTGGGGGACAGGTCAAGTGTCCCTCCCGTCCCAGTCTCAGCCTCGGTCTCCGCAGTGTGGTTGGGCCCAGCTATAGGTTCAGGGTCCAGTTCCCGCACCCCCAAGTTTCTCCCCAAGCAAAGTCTTTGCGTGGTGCACTGTAGCGTCCTTCAGTCCTTCAGGGGCCGGCCCAAATTTCGCTGGGCCTCCCAAGCCCCAATCTGAAACTCCAATAAAGTTTCGATGTCT